CCTCAACACAGAAACGGGGATGAAGGTGGGTGTATACAAGCCCAATGCAGCTTTCTTGTTCTTTTAATATGTATTTCTTTTATATGGATGGACTGAAAAAGAAAACTACACCAGACTCAGCTTAGTTTTATATCATGGCCTAGAAATTCATAGCTCTCTTCACAAGATACACATTTATCTGAAATGTGCACCAATTCCCGTGTGAAGTCTGCTAAGCACAGCCATCTGTTTTGTTCCCTGCTAATAGTTTTACAAATATTGTCACTGAGTTTGTGTTACTGTAAGTCCTTCACCCATTTTAATTTTTATGTTGATTTTTTGCACTTTATCATTTAACCCTGCAAATAAGAGGAAAGTAATGTGTTTATTACTCCACCTCTCTCTCTCAATATATATTTCTATAATATTTCTCTATTTTATGCAGTCTTACTGCATTTTTCAAAATATCTGAAATAAGCTTACTTTTGAAAGGGAGCATTCAAGGTGATTAAAATTATGCTTTTCTAAGCATACTTTATAATGGACAGTGAGACCATCAGAAGTTAATTTACCTAGGCAACAGCTATACAAACTGGCTTTTTAAAAGTACCATGACATCTAATTTAGGTAATCAACACTGGAATTAGATGCTATTATATCAAATGAAACTTTCAAATATGGAATAGAAGTTTATATTCCTTTTCATCTCATAAGTGGTTATATTTTCATCTTTTCTCTCTTTCCAAAAAGCACCAGAACTTCTAGTCAGAACCTGCCACATTGCCATCCTTTCAGAAGATGTTTTCTGTAATGGTGACACCACGAGTATTGTATTATATATTTAGGTTCTAATCTCAGCGAAGTAGAAACTGAATGAGTGTCACTGCTTTCATATATTCTTTCCTGCTTCTTTTAATCCTGCTGAAAAGATTCCCTATTATCTCAAAGGTCACACATGCTTAGTAGCTGCTGTGCTGTTAAAAAAATCTCCCTCTTTTAATCCCACAATCTCACAGATCCTGTGGATTTCCAGTAGTTCCAGAGAACTTTATTTTCTTGTAGAAATACCCACATTTTAAAACATGGTAGTTTTCTCTTGTCTAACATTATGAAAGTGCTTCCCACACTCACAATCAAGTGTTCAACAAGTGAAAGTAAATAATCAGTATGTGCACAGAAATGATGATTCAGATTTTCCAAATTAGAATGTGTATTATGCACAACTATTCCAAGTTCTGTGTTTTTAGCTATCATTTATGAAATCAACAAATTCCAGCAATACTCAATATTCCTTTACACCACTGAGACACAGTAGCAACGCATGGGCTTGATTTACATATTACAGACATTTAATTTGCTTCAACTGATACTATGCAGTGGCTTTAAATTCTTCATCTTCAATGAATTTTACAGGAAGAGCAATACTTATATTGTAGTCATTAACAAGAGTTAATTTACTCAAATGCTAGCACAAAGGTGCTAGCATTTCAAACACGACACTGCAAATGCAAGACTAATGCTGCAAGAGATTGAATTTCACTAGCAAGGAAACTTGTCAATCTCTGATTAAACTAATGATCAAATGGCATGTTTTAGGAAACACTCAACAGTGTTGCCAGTAAAGTACAATGAAATCTTCCAAGTAAGGATTTGCATTTTAGAAGAAAATGTCTGGAGGATGTAGCATATTTATGAGTCAGATGCATGTTCCAACAACTGAGAAAATAATTTTGTCACTGAGACTTATTTTTCAGTTCTGTTGTCTAAACAAAGAGCAAAGAAGATTACAAGGTTAAGAGCAAGTATCAAGGAAGCTGTACATTATTGCAGTTTTCCATCTTCACAAAGCAAGCTGATTTTTTTACTTCCCAGTGCCAAATTCTTTTAGCAGTCTGGCAAAATCTGGATGCTCTACTTCCCACAAAGAGATGAATGTTGTTAAGACTTGAAGCCCACCATGACAACTGGAAAGTGTTTGTGGTTACTCATGAGCCAGAAAACAGACCAGCCAGGAATTATTCTGCAGCTTTGTCATTGAACATGAGGGCAAGAGATGGTCTGTGCTCACATGGAGGAATCTCCTCCTGCCTCTGAACAGGATGTCAGCATCCAAACTAACTACTGGGAATTGTCCTGGACCTCAGCCAAGGGTGCAAGGGTGTTGCTGGGAGTTGCTAGTTCTTTGGGCCAGAAAGTCACTCAAAGACAAGTTTAAAACATCATTGTCCCAGAGCTAAAATCTGTGCCATAGCCCCAGTTAGTTACAAGTATGGATGTAACCTGCGTGCCCTTCTCTACTAACCAGACTTGGTTAAAGGCATCAACATAAGACTAAGTTTGGCTTAATGGGTCTCCTGAAGGAACCCTCAATGGAAGCCTCCCTGAGAGTCAACAGGAAAATAGGGATGGGCTCCAAAACTGAATTCATGCTGGAATAAATTGGCAATTCCCATTTCATTTGTCTTAATGAAAGAGAAAAACATTATCTTACACAAGTTTTAGGAAAAAATACAGTACCCCACTTACTTGTAGAGCACAGGGGGCCTAGATAGCAGCAGCATTCAGGTCCAAAGGGCAATAAAGCTGGTAAAGGGTCTAGACAATAAGTCTTATGAGAAGTGGTTGAGGGAGCTGGGGTTTTTTAGTCTGGAAAAGTGGAGGCTCAGGGGAGACCTCTACAACTGAAAGGATGCTGCAGTGATGTGGGACTCAGTCTCTTTTGCCCTGTCTCAAGTGAAAACATAAGAGGAAATGGCCTAAAATTTCACCAAGGGAGACTCAGATTAGTTATTAGAAATCTTTTTTTTCACTGAATGAGTGGTGAAGCATAGAAATAAGTTGCCCTGGGAGGTGGTAGAGGCACTGTCTATGGAACTGTTGAAAAGGCATACTGGATAAGGCACCTGGGGATATGGGTTAGGGGTGAATATGGTGGTCCTGGGTGGACGACTGGACTTGATGATCTTGAAGATCTCTTCCAACCTTGATGATTCTGTGACTCTGTGAAAACAGGCAGCCAAAGAAGAACCAAGAAGGAGAAAGAAGGGAAGGCACTTTCTCCTTTTCATGCATGCTAAGGGAGGGACAATCCAATCTCTATGTGGTTGGACTACGGAAGAGCTTTAAATTGTGAAACAAAAATTTCTCCAGTGAAGTGGAGTCAGGCCTTGGAACAGACTGCACAGAGAAGTGGTTGAATCACCATCCCTGGAAGTGTTCAAGAAACATGTGGATGTGGCACTGTGGGGACATGGTTTAGTGCTGAACACAGCAGTGCTGCATTAACAATTGGACTCAATGACCTTAGAGATCTTTCCCGAACTTAACAATTCTATGTCTCTGTGACTATAAAAATCAAATCTGCTAAACACACATTTCAAATATAAATGTTTACTGGATTATTTGAATAAAAAATACAACAAATTAACCTCTAGCTCAGAATAATAAACTGTAAACAATGAAAAGCTCTTAAAGCAGAGAATTTTAAGACCAAACCCAAAATTCATATAATGAAAAAATATCACTAAGAACTATACAAATATAAAATCAAATGTTCTAGCTACTAAAATACACATATGTGCTCAAAATCTTGTGGGAATCAAATATTCCAGTAAAAATAAAGGGAGAGATGGAAACACAAGTTTCTTATTATCACACTTCATATGTTATAAAACCTAAGAGTTAACTTATTTTTGGCAAAGGGACAAAGATTGCACAATACCCTGGCTTACACAAATATTTTCTATTGTTGAATGCATCTTAAATGTAGCTTGTCATATATTTACTTTATGCACACAGTGCAACATGAGGTCTAAGAGTGTCCCAAAGTTCCCTACGTTTCAAAATACTGATGAAAAGCTGCCAGCATCCGGTGAGCCAGGTGTAAAAATGTTATCAACAATTTATAGTTTAATTGAAAGCAGATAAAATCATTTGAGCAATAAAAACTACAGATTTTGACCCCCCAAAAATTGGCACTTTTGGACAAATTAATGCACATATTTTCTAGAATGCTCCTTTCTGAAAAAAGATGTAAGATTTCTCTCAGAAAATGTTCTTGTTTATAACCACAAAGTGAAATACGCCTGTAGAAATATATCAGGTTTTCCCCATATTTCACATCTTTAGTTCCTTTCTCCTTTAAAGGAAGAAAAAGTTAGATGTGCCGTGGAAATGGTTATGAAGTAGTGGATATGCATATATTAACCACATAGGTTACATTTATTAACCACATGCATATATTAACCCCAGACTTCATGTCACCACTAACATGGCACTTCCTTCCACTGAAGATTTTATAAAGTAAAGGAAGAAGCAATGATTTAGTAAGAGTGAATGTTTAAGAATAAAAATTCCCCATTCTCCATTTATCAGTCACTAACAGACTGACTTATTACTAAGCACAGTTTGCCATTTACAGAGGGCAAGGATATGGTCCTGTTTCAGCCTTCTTACTGCTTCACAGTGACAAAGAAAGTTCAGATGTACAGAACATGCAGTAACAGTTCTCACTCTCATTGAGCTACACAAACCAAGACTGAGATGCAGAAACAGTGATATTTGTATTAAATTTTAAAATCAGTGTCTTTCATAGCAGTACTCCTCACAATTTATATTACTATTCATTCCCTTACATTTTCTGATGTCTAACCAGCAATCTGTTTGCCTCAAGATAAGAAACCACTATAAAAATCGCAACCGGCCTTAATTTTTCGTGTAACATATAATGCAATTGTCAAATATCTAGTGATTTGCTTATAAATTATTTAATGATGAGAACAAGGGAGTCATAAATATATCTCTCACCATTATCAATTATTTATATTTGGAGGGTATTAAAGATCCAAATTCAGACTCAGAATTACATCAATCTGCTTTATTATATGTTACTAGGATCAAGCAATATTTTTTGTTTGTGTATAACAGAATAGTTTCCACAGGAAATACAAGGCATTACTCATAGGCTGAGCCGTGCACTGCTTTGCTAATAAAGCAACTCCCATTCAAGAAGGTTCATGTACCTGAAGTTCTGATGCTCGTTTCATCATCTCCAGGGTGATGTAGCAACCAATAGAATGAGCAATCAGCACCAGCTTTATATCTTTTGATACATTCTTTTTGAGGAAGTTCAGCTTATGCTCTACTTGTCCGTTAAGTCCAAAAACATCCTCTAGCTCCTTAATATCTGTATCTGAAACATAAAATAAAAGAAGTCCTTTGGTTTAGTGAAAGAAATTTCAGGCATGTCTTTTTTTCCCCCCACTTCTTTGTAGAACACTGAAATAAAAACATGTATTAATTTAAAAACAAACAAACAAACAAAAAAATAAACCACATCTGACTTCAAAATTAAATTTTCAGTTACCACCACTGGAAAATCCTGACTGATAAATCACATCCACAGGATGTAAAGCTTGTGTGTAGTTTGGGAAGCAGCACAAGATATGTAAACATATGGAGATTTCATAGCACATCATCCACTATTTTTGTCTCCTTCATTCAGAACAAGACCAAACTCAGGGCATTGGATCAGCTTAAATCAATCCAACTTTACATTGAGAGATCAGGACCTACAACAACAATACTTCCCAGGAATGAGTCCCTTGTTTCAGAAGACAAGCTACCATACATGTCATCATGCACTAGCAACCTTCAGATATTCAAAATCTCCTGTCTTAAAGAGGCACAAAAATGTCCCATGGAATGAGGAAAAATAGGAAAGGCCTATGTGTCAATACAGAACAGTAGCACCTACATAAAATATCCCTGCTAATGCAGGTTCTTACCATTGTCAATTCATCTGCAAAGAGGAAAATCAAGTTAGAGTTTCATGGTTCTAGACTACTGTACAATTTCATTCTTGATTTGCCAGGGACCTTCTAAAGCAGCTTGGGCAGTCCCTCAGGAAGAGGACTTGGCTCCTTGCTTCCTGGCCAGTCAACAGGACAAACTGAACCGGCGTCTGTAAGAATATACAGCAATTTAGGCATCTTTAACTTGCTTATTACAAGGGTGACATGTATCTGAAGTTCGCCAGTCTAAGGGGGTTCTGAGCTCTTTCATCTGCTAGAAAAATGCTTTACCCACTAAACTAAACTAAACTAAACTAAACTAAACCAAACTCAACACTAAATTAAGGATACACCACTCCAGTTTATGCTGGACTGCTCTATATGACTGTAAGAAGAAATACTAAAAAGAAGAATTTAAAAAAAGAGACACAAAGAATGAAGAAATGTATGTCCCTATCTTATCTAGATGAGATGGAGTGGTACTAATATCACTTAATCTCTTTAATCTGTGGTATTATCTCAGGATTCAGTTTCATACTACAGATTAAATCCTGATCTTTTATGCTCCTTACAGGCTGACTTGCAGTGCAGTTTTAGCCTGAAGTAAGCAGAATCTCCTGGCAGAACAGTTTGGACACACAATGGGGACCAGCTCATTACTGAGCCATGGTCCTACAGATGGCTCCTAGGTTCCCAGCAAAAGCCACCCACCTCTAACAACTCACAGCAGCTAACAGAGTGCACACACAGCCCTAACTGGCCCAGTAAGGTGTTTAACTTCCCACTTGGTGTCTTTTGATGAGCTCTGCAACAGTCTCCTGTGTGAAAAACAGATGTGGAAGAAAGTGTCCATCAGGCGAAGACACTGTAACGATAAATAAATTAAAAAGACTGAAATGCATTGAAAAACTACTGGACGAGAAAGTCAGAATCATAGTTCTGTTTCAGATTGTTCTGCACCTGCTTGAGCAAAGAGGTAACTATGAGTTAACTGCCTATGACTGTGAACAGCATTTATCAAATTATGGCTGTCAGTGCTTTAGTTCGTACACAGTAAATTTCATGGCAACTGGACAGTAACCTCAAATACTAAAGATTACTACATTGCTGTAGTGAAGTTATTGGGAGGTTGATAGTGACAGCCCAAGTGGGCTAGAACCACATCACCTTTTTGATCATCTGTATGAAACACACCCTTTAGAAGTAAAATTATTGCTCGAGATGGATCTCAGTTCTGAGTTTAAATAATAACCATCAAAGTCCCAACGAAGTTGTTCTTCAGTTAAAATAGTATTTCTGGTAAAACTACCGATGATCATATCCCAGCATAATTTAGAGCAATTTACGCAAAACAAAAAAGGATTTACCAAAACACATCCAAGGAATGCAAAATCAGATGAGAAGTGATATTTTTTTATTAGGCTTTCTACATGTAATGGAAAACAAAATGTTTGTTCTATTTTCCAAAACTGTAAGTAAAAGCCTAAGGCAAAAACATTGTTTTTAAATTTAGTTTCTACTTTTAGCAAAAGCTGCCTTTCCTGCATTAAATTACACCGCAGCTCAGCCTCATGCAGGAATAAGTTGCCTACATCCCAAGTCTAATTACAGGTATATGTAACACGAAAAAATGCCAGCATAGTAGAAACATGATGGCCCACTGGATACAGCAACAAGTGAAGAGTAAGTTATACTGAGTATTTTGTATATACCGAGTATATTGTATACTGAGTGTATTGTATATATGTATTACAATATATATTGCAATATATATGTGTTGTTAACATATATAATGTTGGGTTGTGTGAGTCAATTGTCCCTTGTAAAGACTTGCTATAATTTCTGTACTGTTTTACTCAGGCACTGCCATCTCAGTAGTTTATCAGCATATCTTTTAACGTTTCACATTTCATTTCAATTCTGGAAAATAGTGTTTTCAGCTTATTTTCCAGTTAGAGCAAGGGAAAAGGAGACAAAGTAGATGTATAAATCTTCTAGAGAACTTTTTGTGGTTCACAAGACCCCAGAAACCAAGCAGGAAACATGACAAATTTTTATTTGTATTATTCAGTCTCATGAGGTTAATGGCTTTTCCGTACATTAATTCAGCATCTGCTAAAAGAGCTGCTGAAGACTGCTGGCATGTAATTAATAAATAGCACAGCAGAGACCATCTAGGCCCATCTCAATATTTTCCAAGTTTAGAAAATTATGTTAGACAAATACAGTTAATTAGTTAAGATATTACATACCTAATTTAATGCTTATTTACCTAATAAATAGCAGTGTAGACACTTTGGCTAACATACTCAAAGCTATTGACTTCATTAGAAATGTGTCTGCTCAGAACCACCTGTGTTGCCAGAGTAAGAACCCTGAGGAAGGACATGGTTGGAGATTGAGAATAAAGTGAAAACAATGGCATTTTCCTCCTTGCATTTGGCCAGACTTGAGAACACTCAACTCACGCCTGTGCACCAGTGTTTCCTTAAGGGAGCCAGGGAGACTTGAGCCTGCAGAAGCGATTTTTAATTGGATGGGTCAGTTGTGATTGATGATGACCATGGACACTCATTCTACTGTGGGCCAAATCATCATCCTCAGCGCAGCCCTGCTCACACACTCGGAGCAAGAATGCCGATTCCCTCGGCTGCTGGCCGGTGTTACACACACAGAGAACCTCTCTGAGGCTGCAAGCGAGTCCTGACAGCCAAGGCTGACCCCAGAGAATTGCTTCAGCTGTTTAATACAACTTTTCCTTTTCTTCTGAAATAGTGGTTTATTGCCAAACCCAATCACCTTGGCACTATTCCCAGAGAAGCCACACTGGGGAATGAGCATGCAGTGTGGGGTATGGTAATCCCCATGCAAAACTCTCATCATGGACCAACCCCACACTCTTCAGGTGAAGCTCCAATGTCATGTAACCCTGTACTGAAATAGGCATCCTGTTTGACATCTGGACAAATATAAAATTGCCCACGCCTCGTGTCACTTCGTGTTTCCCCAACACAAATGCTACACTTCTAATAGTCCAAAATGTGCGAGAGCTGGACTGTGTCACAAGTCTGAAAGATTCATTATTTATTTTACAGAATAAAATCGCCCAGGGATTATCCAAAATCAACATGAATTTCTTGGGTGGAGAAGCTTAAATGGGTTCTTTGTATAAGCAAACAGACTTGCACAAACACACTGGCAGTCAGCACTCCAATGGCTCTGCATCAAAGAAGGGACCAGAGTGACTTCACCTCAGGTGTGGAATACATGCCATGGCTGAAGGAGAGCTCATTTAAGCAGTTTTCAGATAGCAGAAATTATACGACTTGTACCTTATGCTACAAACACCCCATCTGGGCCAAGACATGATTTTAAGACTTTATTTAACTGGTGTATTAAAAGAAATACTGGATTTCTTTAAATTTTTTGGCAAAGTATTAATTTTCTGATGTGCTTCTGGAAAAACAAATGCACCATCACTTTAATGAATCTCTTTTTCTAACCTCTGCTAAAACTACAGTCAGAAAACAATGATAGATTAAAATAAAGTGTTTGCTCTAAGATTACTTGACAAGCTAATCTTGCTAGGAAAGAGGACTTTGGTTTTAAGGGAAATAACAGAGAATTGTGTTTGTTTGTTTTTCTGCTGTGTATGCAAAGGAAATTCTTATGCAGAAAAAAAGCGTAGCAGTTTTATGAGCAGACTGCCAATTCATAAAAGTTAGCCTTTCATTAAAAAGTCTGCTGAATCATGGACTTTGTTTTACTGGAAGATTCAAGAAGACACCAGAGGCCTGACTTTCTAACAGTACCTTCAAATTTCTGTACGCCTTTGTACTTCCCAAATTTCACAATTTTACATGTCTAAATTCCGAACTGTCCTGGTCTCAACAGGTGAGTATTTGAGCTCAGTACCTATGAAGACTTGTCCACTTGTCATGGAGTGACTCTGAAGATCAGCTCATAAACAAGGCCTCCAAATTACTCATGAACAAGTAAGGAGCCATGAGGAAAGGTGACCTGCAATTATATATAATGAAGGAAAGGGAGGTGAAAAACACTGGTCTACCTGTACTGCATCTTCCTCTTGCATGGACCATTGACTCTAAGAAGTGATAGCAGGATATCGAAGGACAAACGTCAATCAATCACTTCTATGAAATTGTGTGGTCAAGAATTTTCAGAACTGGACCTTTTGCAGAGTAAGAACAAGTAAATGTCTGGAGACTGAACTAGTGGGGTAGCTCAGGGACACATAAATTCCTCTGCATCTCCACCAAATGCCCCAAGTAAAACCAACATATTGGGCCAAGTGTTTTATACTTTACATACCACCTCCTTTTTCCACAAACACACCCACAGATACTGGTAGGAGGAGCAGCAGTTTTGACTGAATAAC